AGGTGATCAATCAGAGGTTCAGGCCGTGACTCAGCAGTTCCCATACAGTTGCCTTTGTGGTGGATGCATGGTTTTAGCAGAGGCAAATCTTACCTGCGGCCGGTCTTTGCAAGAAAATCAAGAGGAAAAAGAAGAGTTTTGGTTGCTACATTGGAGACCAGGGCTGATTTAAAGACATGCTGTGCTGATGCTGAGTGGAGAGTCTGGTTTAATGACAGCAGGTACACATACAGCTGAGGAACTAAATGTTTTTGCTGCCTGAGTCTTTATTGAAAGGGACTCCAGGCCTCACTGCTTGGGAAGAGGGTTTAAGGAAGATGACAGAATGCACTGACAGGCATTTCATGAAAGGCCATGAGGACAAATGCAAATGTTTTCTACAGCAAGACTCTTATTTCTGACCATGGCATAGGCTGGGGCTGCCAGGCTGCGAGCTGCCCTGTGGAGAAGGTCTTGGTGGGCAATAATCTGGAAAGGAGGCTGCCAGTCTGGGGAGGCCAGCAATGTGCCTCACTGGTCTGTGTGCTTATTAATTGGCAGTAATTACATTAATCTTCCCCAAATTCTGTCTTACTTGTGATAGTAATTATGAAGATCTCCATATCCTTGTCTCAACCCATGAGTGAAGACTGTGGCCAGAAGATTGAGGGGAGGCATTATCTACAATGCTGCCTTCAAATTTCATATCCCCAACACAGGAGTGATGTCAGCAAGACAGAGAGGGTGTGAGAAGGATCAAGATAGTCAGGGCTGGAGCTCATCACCTGTCCTGAGGAGAGGCTGAGGGAGATGGACTTGTCCACCTAGAGAAGGGAAAGCGGAAGGGGATCTCATTGCAGCCTGCCAGAACCTACGAGGAGGTGATGGAGAGTACAGACCATCACCATGATGCATGCTGGGAGATAAAAGAGAACATGCGATTCAGCCTACACAGAAGAGTTGGAAATATCCAAATAATTTATCAGTATGGTATCTCTGATAAAGCAAGCAGAAGCTCACACAGAAAACAGCATAATGTCCTTTATGCCCTATTACCTGATGATTATCTCTTCCTCCTCTGGTCCTCACTGGCTGAGTACTTCAGGTTCACAAATCTTCTTGACATTTCACTAAACATACGGATACCTGCTAAACATAAATCATTGCTATCTAAACATGTATCTTGCTAATTGTTTAATTTCTCTTCAAGTTTCCTATCACTCAGGTCTTGTCTGTCCAGCACCAAAAATTAGTAGTCTTCTAACATAATGAGCCTATTGATATCCTTGTCACACTGTTTAGAAGTGGGATGTCTAACCTGTCTTTAAGTCAGGTCTCAGGGGTGTTGCAGATGGCTGGACAGACAAGAGCTGCGGTCTTTG